AATGCACCAAAGAATATAGACCAATAACATGCATAAAGTAGACAAATTCACTTACCTGTTAAAATTTTCCTGGCTTTCTAACTATGCTACAAGAGCCGTTACAAATTTATCCAAGCTAGTCGTTAACTTTTCCACAAGAACGAATCTTGTACTATGAGTGAAATTGACAATATTCTGTTCAGAATACGTTATACAATACATCATTTGATAGATGAAAACCTTGACTTCCTATTGGTTATATGTAATATATAATGAAATGTAAGAGAGAACTATCAACAAATTGTGAAAGAGAGGATATGACAGGTGAGATCTGATTTTCTATTCAATAGCTCTGTAACCAAATAAAATTGAAGACTATAAAACATAGTTTGTTTGAGCAATAACAATTTTATAGAGTAATTTACGTTTAATTTCATACATTTCTGAGGGGTGATGAATAAAATATGGATGATTACATACTAAGACAAAATATGTCACGTGGGTCACACTAGTGGAAATTTAGGATTTTTATAAATATTACCTTGTAGAATTAACTTAAAACTTGTATACTACTAAGATATGGATTATTAGCTAAGATTTTATGCTATTCTAATTGGTATAACATAAACAAAAAGTAGTGTAATAAAATTTTGAATGTAAGACATTAAAACCTTGTGTCATGCACAGTAACGGATACCAGTGCGATAGGGTTAAATACGTAATGTTTTAGTACCATTAGTATATAAAAAAAGGGTTGTTTCATCAACAGTCAACAGCAAAAAAAAAAAAACCAGGTAAGTATTTATATTTCTTGTTTTTCATGTGTATTCTCTATTTATTATTATAACTAAAATGTAAAAATTATAAAATTGTTATATTGGGTAAGAAAAGAAAAATAATAATAATAATAATTTTTCATAAAGTATGCTTGCAAGCAGTTTGTGAGCAGTACAATTGTGGTTTCTTGTTAGAATTTACAGTCATTCTAGAAAGGGAAAATGGGTAACTTAAATTCATTTCCTAATTTTTTTATGGTGGTTATGAGGTTGGTCAAATTGACTACCTCATAGAGAGTTAGGGTAGAGGAAATAACAGATAAAATATATAGTTTTACTGAAAAAAAACGTTTGATATTTATTTAGGTTTTACAGATTACACAAATGAAAGAACAATTTTTCAGATGAAGAAAAATACATTTAATATTAACATGAAAATTACTTTACACTCATAGCAGTTAACACTCCATATATTCACAAATAAATTTTTAGTAAAAATAATTAAGAATCTGATTTTTTGCATGCAAAAGACTTGTAAAATTTACTGATAGTCTACAAAATTTTGTGAAGGTACACATACATTATCAAAAGTTATAATGATTAATTTCATGGTTACGAATTAGGTAAAATGCACCTAGCCCATGTGGGAACAGTTAATTATATTATCTGAAAATTAATTTACTCCCGTGCTCAAAAATACGATCTCATTACCAATAAAGTTTGTATGAAAAGCATTTTGTGAACTGTTTTCTGAAAGTAATCTTAGTAGTTTTTCCAAGGAAATCACATTTAGATATTTTATTTGCTTAGAATTTTAAAACGAATTTATTTCGCTTTAAAAAGGAAAAAAGCACTAATGATGTTTACAATAGGGAGAAGGTAGTGGGACAAAAGTAACTGTAACATAATTACACTCTTTAAAAATTTAAAAAGGGCAATTTATTATTTACAAAAGTAATATTATTACAGACACCTAACTATGCCGATGTAGAAGACCTTTCTACTTGGTATGTATACAGTCTAACAGATTTATATGAAACAAACTACACACTAAAGCTAAATAACCTTCCTATGATTACATTTTTAAACCTTTAAGCATGAAACATTGTTAAAAACAAACTTATAAGGCTAACACTGGCTACAATATAGACAGCCCATTATGTAACTTTGTGTTTAACAACAAACAGATATAATAGCAATACTTCAATTACATAAATAGTTGGAATAATCGAAAATAGTAATAACCATAAACCCTAATTTTGATTACTTGCTTATTTCCATAACAATCTATTTATTCATAACTTCCAATCATCAATTGTCAGAATAATCAAAAACAGTAAGAATTGAAAACACTAATTTTGATTAGTTGATTATTTTAGTGACAAATGATTAATTGATTTAATCATAATTTCATTTACTCAGTTTATGTGACACTAATTGATATAATCAGTCGTCATAGGTAATTGATTATATTGAATAATCAATTAAATAGCTCAGCTCCATCAGTAACCAACACACAAATTGCAGTGAAAAGTATTCTATAATATACTGTAACCTGCCACTGCTATGTTTGTTTGTTCTGAAATTTGAGCAAAGCTACACGAAGGCTATCTGCATTAGCCATCCCTAATTTAGCAATGTAAGACTAGAGGGAAGGCAGCTAGTCATCACCACCTACTGCCA